TCATTATCATTATCATTATTATTACTATAAATCATTATATCATTTTACTTAGGGTATTTTCTAATAAATTGTTATTGTCATTCTGGGTGATTCACAGCTTAAAACACTTTATTTGCAAGTACATTTTAGAACCACACGTGGATATATAAATAAATTAGTAACAGAAACAGTTCAGAAGAAGGCAAATTTCATCTAAAATTATTTCCAAAACTAAATTATACCTGATCATCTCCCTCTGTTGTCTCGTTATCCACGGAGTCATCATCATCATCGTCATCTTCAACATCAACTTCCTGCAGGACCAAGATTCATGAGATCTCCATTGTAAATGTTTACAGCGTCTTCGCAAAGTTGCTGTATGTTGTAGCCAGACATTTTATGCAAATAACAGGCTAAATAAAAATTCTAGGAAGGGGCTTGCATATTTGTCATTGGCTTTGCATATTGTCCCTACCCCTATTAATGGCCACCCACAATTTAATACACATAGTTTACATGTAGCTTTGTTTTGGAAAAGGCAATGACAGATAACAACAGATATAAGAGTCCGAAATAGAAAGTGACAGCCGATAAAAACATTCAAACACGCATTTATTATGATTTTCTTTAGTACGTGATTCCAGTTTCACTAAGCAGTTAACCCGATGGTAAAAAAATTTGTGAAGGTGATTTTTTAAAAGATCATGTATTTTTGTGACAAATGCAACAGGAAAACATTGATAGGCTTTGATTAAGTACGACAGTAGTCACAAGCCTTCAAGCATTGTTTCCCTTTGAATAAAATTTATTACATGCATCTTTCTACTAAGCTTTACACTAATTCCTGACAGACCCTATTGTAATTAAATGGCCAGCCCCTATTAAGTGGCCACTCCTCATTTCCCTCACAGTGGAGGGGTTCAACTGTAACTTAAGGGTAAAAAATGGAACCTGCAAATTCAAGAATTGTGAGGCAATGAAACGTATGTCTTTTTGAACTTGAGACTTTTTTACACTTAGCAAAAGAAATGTAAAAGTAAATAATTGAAATGGTAAGACCCTGAAATTTGACTTTTAGTAAATTT